TATAAATTAGAACTTTTTATTTTTAAATATTTTATAATTTAAATATTTCATGTTTATCCATTAGAGGTGGAGTGTTTATTTTCAAAATTAATGAATCTATGAAATTATGATCAAAATATAAAAAGATCAGAGGATCTTACCCTAAAGAAAATGCATTAATCAAAGAGGCTATTTGTAAATTTTAAAATTTTGTTTTGAGTAAGAAATCTCAGCTATTAAAACCTAAATCGCATAATTATAAATATAATGTTAGTACAATAAGCTCAATCTAAATGGTTCTAAAAGGAGGTAAATTGAAATATTTTGTAATTTTAAAGATTCCTTATCAATTTGAGAAAATAAAATTCTCTTAAACCAAATTTCCAATTTGAAAATAAAGAAGACAATTGATTTCTTGTAAAGTAAGAAAAGTTGAAAAATACAAATGAAATTTAAAAAGGTAAAAAAGGAAGGAAAAACGAACACAATAATTTTTATAAAAGTTCAATCTCTTTGTCCACGTCTTATCTCTTAGATTCATTAAGGAATTTAAAATTTACTATTAAAATTGAGTTCAATATAATACCTTTTTATGGTTAAAGTACAACTACTCTACATTTTATCTTGGTCAAGGTATAACGATTCAATTTTTACCTCTTCAATTGATTAAAGTATAACCACTCAAGTGAGTACAATAAAAATGATAATACAGCTAAGATGCCCTTTAAAGGCTAAATAACAAATTAAGTACAATATTTGGTAAGAAAGAAGATAACTAGTAATGGCTCAATAAGTGGTACAATAGAAGACTTAAATGCAAAAGGAAAAGCACAAGAGCATTGAATGATTTGAGATAAATTCTTCTTTTAGAATCCTTCTAAGCTTCATAAAAGCTGTAAAAGCTTATATTTATAGTTGTTGAAGCTTCAAGAATAGTTGGAGGTTTATTAAATGTGAAAATATCCGTTCTTTTCTTCATTCAAGGTTCTTGCGTCATATTGTATCAATACATATATAAATGTATCAATACATTGCCTTTTATATTTTTGAATTCCCCTTATAATATATCAATACATTTTGACATGTATAGATACTTTTGAACTTGGCTGCAAAGGCTTGAATATTCTATTGTTAATGTATCGATACTTTTGAAGCAATAAGTATTCTATTAAAAATGTATCAATACATTTGAGTAATGTATCGATATTTTTTAGATAGTATGCATTCTACTGCATTTCTATCGATACATTTGAGAATGTATTAATAAATTGAGTTTGACTTTGTAAATTTTGACTTTTTTTAAAAACATGTATCAATAAATTTCAATATCTATCGATACTTATCCAAATGTTTCAATTCATGAGGAACATGTATCGATAGATTTCAATATCTATCCATGCATGTTGCTCATGAATTGATACATTTGGACCAAAATGCATTTTCAAAGTCCTTTTTCATTGTTTTTCTTCTCAAACTCATTTGAAAGTGTTAAGGGATGTCTAGACTTGATATTCTAAGACTTAAATGAAATTTATCATTTTCTTTTATCATTTCAAAATGTAGGATAAATTTGAAAGCTATAAAACTAACAAGTTCTTCTTTTTTGATATGACAAAACAATAAGCAAAATTTATTCAAACTTTTGAAAAAAACAAACAAACTCTCTTGAATTTTAAAGAGCTAAAAGTTGTATAGAATTTTGAATCCTTTCCCTTAATCAATGCTCCCCCTCAATTTAAGAATTTCTAATTTGAAAATAATTTTGACCATTTTGATAAAAACGTAATGTAAAATTTGCTCGTTAACCTCATTCTCCCCTTTTTGGTTATATCAAAAGGAAAAGTAGGCGTGAAGGGATCGGATTGGAAAGCATAAGTTAAGGTATAAAAATCATGGGAAACAAATGTTGAAACTTTAATCCATAACAATATCATAGGCAATAAGAAAAGTAAGCGTAAAATAAAATAAACCAAGTATAAAGTGTAAACAATTTAGAGTGAGAATGCAGCATAAGAGACACATAATTATTAGCATAAACAAGGTATCCAAGAGCATAATGTAGCAGAAAAATATAACACGATCCAAAATTGGTTGTCAACGACTATCCAAATATAGTGCATAAAATTCGAAAGTAATAAAATGCAAGGCAATGGCAATGATGAAGCATGATGAAAATGCTATGAGCAGGTGGCCATCCAATCCAAAAAGGTAGGAAGTGTCAAGGAAAGGCGATGTCCTAGGGGATGAACTCAATATGGTAGCGAAAAGTGAGCTTGAAACTACTCCTTAAGAAACTACTGGCAATGTAATAACTCACAGTTCTGGGCCTCCAAAGCATCCAACCTGTTAACCACACGAGCATCCATAATTCCATATATGATAACAATCAAGAAAAAGCTTGCTCGAAGTCAAAGGTAGTGACATAGGTGGGTAACTAAAAGTGACATTGAGGCTCACACTACTACTGACACTAGGGGCTACACTAGGCTCAGCATGGGTGTCCTCGTTTCCCTCATCCCTAGCGATATCAGGTTCAGTAACGATTTCTTTACGCTCCTAAGATTGGTTAACATACACAAATCCAAACTTGTTGGTGTTATGCTCATTGATCTTCGTGTGCATAGCATGTTACTTAGGTGGATCACACCTAGTGTTGATACCCATGGAGTTAATGATGGCACTAATGGCACTAATGGCCATGCCATAAACTAGTGTTTTGCTAAACTTGTTAATGATTTTCAACATGTCATCAAGGATGAATTTTGGTAGGTTGACACGATGGTTGGATTTGATATGATAAAGGAACCAACATTAACGGTAGGTAGGTTTTTTTAGGAAAGAAAAAAATTTAAAAAATAAAAGTTTATATAGTGTTGTAATTTTTGACATATTTGAAAGGTAAAATTATCCAAAAAATATTACCGTGTTAGCAAACTAATCAAAATCTTAACGTTTGACTAATGGTTAGACTTATGTCTATAATGATAGACATTCTTTTGAGGCTAAGTGTCTATTTTTCAAACTAATGGATTTTTTATAATTTTAGTTATTCTTAAGAGTGTTTGGATATTTTACCCAAAATTTTAATATTTTAATTATTATATATATTTTAATCCCTCTCAAAATATTTTTTTTAATAATTAATACAAATGAACAAAATAAAATAACCTTGCAAGTAGTACTCAACTTTATCTTAATTCTTAAGTTTCTCTATACCTCTTTCTCTCTCTCTTTTTTTTTCTTTCTCTTCTCTTTTGTCTTTTTATTTTTACTTTTCTCTCTTCACTATAACTCACTATTAAAACGCATTTTATTTTTCAAACATCTTTGAACACAACTTTCCTAAAAGACTATTATAATTTTTTTTTAATTTACATGATATATAAAATTATTTTCTATTATAAATCTTTTAATTACTGATTAAAGTCAATATATTAGTTTTAGAAAATTTTAACCCTTATTTTTCTTCGTCTTTGGCCCTTCCAACAAAGTTGTCTAACTTCGTCCTTACGTACGTCTCTTGTCATTCTTCTAAAAAAGTAACGATCAAAAGGGCTACTTAGGGAGCGGTCCAAGCCCAATCTCTGATAACTTTTTTGGAAGTGAGTGGTGTCAATATAAATCCGTTCTTATATAATAATATAATCATGTAACATTTTCATTCTTCACGTTAATATTATGTCAACATTACATAATTATAATAATAACAAATAAGATTTTAACTAATGACAATTAGTTAATCATTAATTATAAAAACTTATTTAGATCAAAATAAAAATATAAATACTTTATTAAACATAATAAAAAAATAAAAATTTATTTAAATTTTATTAAATAATTCAAAAAAATTAAAATATTATGCCTTTATTTTATTTGTTTAATATCATTAGAATAACAAAACTTGAAAGAAAAAAAACAAAGGATCCAAAATAAACTAACAAGTAACAACAAATATTCTACAATAACGAATACTTCAATTCACCTGAATTTATTTTGAAAGATTAAATGCTAAATACGACATAAGATTTGGATCAAAATCTTAGATCAAAGGATAATACCCAACCTAACTCAAATATTAACCTAAAAAAGAAGGGAGAATCTCATAGTATAAACATCTTGAAAGCCTCTTAACTAAAACGATCTGATTTCCAAATGCCTTGCTAGGAACAATGGGAGCTTGATTTCATTTGATACATCATCCTTGTTTTCCCCTTTTGAGTCTTCTTAGAAGAGCACTTTAGGGCTTATTTTTTTAAAAAAAAATTATATTTAATATATTATTTTAACTAAATTCACCAAAGAAAGTGCATTAATTATAATTGTTATTCCTAAATATCATCTAAATATTAGTAAGCAGTGGTTAACTCTTCTTATATTTTAATTACTAATACTTGCAAGAAAGCAAGAATCTAATATAGGTGGGAGCTGTCACACATTCCGCTTATAGCAACTTGAATGCCGCCAAGGCAAACTTTTTGATGAAACCTTAAATGGGCCGAAGGTGGTGAAAATCTGAAAATGCCAGCCAATGAATGATGCTCCATCTCCATCTCCACCTCAGTTAGTCATTATCAATCTTAACCACCCCTCTTAATTATTTCATTAATCCAGTTTTAAATCACTAACTACCCATTTTAACTCCATAACCATGATCAATCACTACTTCCCAAAATTTATCTCCCCCTTCCTCAACCACAAGAAGGAAAAAGAAGGGCTTCCATTCCGTGGTGGTCTCTTTCCGTTTTTATGGTTTCCTTTGCAAGAGCCTTCAATTTTGGAGGGAAACTCCAAAAGCTTAATCAGAAAAAAAAAATGAGGCTTGAAGAGCAAAGATTAGGGGATTTTGATTACAGTTATGATTAGATTAGGACCTTAATAATAATATAACGTTGGATTTATCATTTCTTTATTAAGTAATCAGTCGGAAAGAACGACAGCTTTTGGACCGTCAGATCCGACATTTGCCCGACAAGCATTTGTCTCTTTCTCCGCCCGGTTTCATGAAAAGAGACAAAAAAAAAAAAAAAAAGACAGAAAACGGAAATTCCAATTTCGAAGTACCCAGGTAGTCAGAGCTTGCAGGTGAAGCAAAGGTTCATCAAGAAAAGCATCATCATCAAAATCACGTGCTGCTTGGGGTTAATCGCATCAATCTTACTCCATCAATGGCTGATATCATGTGATCTCCCAAAACTCGAAGCGTTACCGTTGCAAAATCGATAAAAACGAGCTCACTCAATCATTAACCCACCCTCCTCCGAAAATTAAATAAAGTTTCAAAAAAGTCCACCCAAGGCCGAGGGGGAAGGGATAACCTCCGAAGTACCCCACAACAAATACTCATGTACCACATTTTCCCACGATCTAAGAAACAGAAGAAATCTGAGTTTTGAGCTTCGATAAACAAAACAGGAATTGAATTTATTTGATTCTTAAAATCTCCCCTGCAAATTTTTTTTTCCTTTTTGATGGGTGATTCTCAGGTACAAACAGAGGCAGAGCAACCACCTCCCGCGCAAATCCCTCTGCTCAATTCAAACAACCGAGACGACGCCGCTCAAACCCAGTTACGACGACGAGACCAAGAATACCGAATAGGCGACGATCTCGATGATTCCCTGGAAAAGTTGGAGAGGTTTTTGAGTTTTCTCGGTTTCAATCAGTCTTCTTTGTTGAGCTGTTCCTTGTCCTGGGCGGCGTTCTCGGTGGTTGGGGTTTTGGTTCCTGTTTTGGTCCTGGAACTTTCCAAATGCGACGGTTGCGAGACGTATCAGATTAAGGATTTCGAGCTGGATATCGTGGCTTCTCAGGCTTGTTTGGCGGCCGTTTCTTTGTTTTGCGTTTCGTCTAATCTCAGAAAGTACGGTATTAGGAGGTTTCTGTTTCTTGATCGATACGGTGGTCAAATGGCTCGTTTCACCAGCCTTTATGTTAAGCAGATTTGGGTAAAGTTCATTTTATTTTTTGCGTTTTGAAATGCCTATGTTAAAATTGAGTAGTTAGGATTACAGTGAGCTTAATCATGATTAATGCATTCAAGTCTTGATCTTTGATTATAATTCTTGGTTAAATTATGGAGCAATGTTCTTGGATTGATCGTGGTTAGGAACATAGAAGGAAGATGCTTAATTAATACCACCTTAGAAATAATCTCTTGTTTCTCACTTTTGTTTGTTTTATGGATTTGGAAATTACTAGTATAGTAAGTATTGTATTTCTGCACCCAGGAAAAGTTTTAATTGAAAAAGAAAAAGGTTTTGTGCTGAATGAATAAATAGATCATTCAATGAAACTAGAAATATGATCTTCTCCTAATAGTTGTTGCAGCGTCAATTATGGTGATAATAATGAATTATAAGATGCACTTCAAAATTTCTTGTTTTGCTATGCCAATCACTTTTTCTTGATTTGGATTAAGTTACTTTTGTACAGGATTCCATGCGCCTGCTAATATGGTGGTCACTGCCATGCTTCATTTTGAAGACCGCACGGGAGATCATCCGTGTTTTATATGTGCAACGTGATTCGTGGTGGATATCTGTTGTTATTTTATTAGCTTTGATTTTGTCCTGGACTTGTGTGAGTACAATTAGTCTATCCGCCAGCATTTTGTTTCATTTAGTCTGCAACTTGCAAGTTATTCACTTTGATGATTACGCAAAGTTCTTGGAAAGAGAATCTGATGTTTTGGTATTTATAGAGGAGCACAGTCGACTACGGCATCATCTCTCCAAGATAAGCCATAGGTTCAGAATTTTTCTTCTTTTAGAGTTCTTGGTTGTCACAGCTAGCCAATTTGTGACTCTTTTCCAGACAACTGGATATAGTGGAATGGTTAACTTCATAAATGGCGGTGATTTTGCAGTAAGTGTGGATATTTATTTCGTTATTATACAGATAAACTGTATCCTTAAGATAGTCAATAGTTTAACTCCTGCACTCCATAAGCTTTACTAATGCTACTAAATAGAAACAGAAGTTGCTAATTTGAAAGTTACCACTTTGGAAATTTTCCTACTTTTCTGGCATATTTTCTACAGTTTGTAACCATTTTAATACTTTCAAGTCTTAACTGTTGTTACCTCCCTTACTTTTATGCCTCTCTAGGTCTCCTCAATTGTTCAAGTTGTTGGGATTATTCTTTGCTTGCATGCAGCCACAAAAATTTCTCACAGAGCTCAAGGAATTGCATCACTTGCAAGTAGATGGCATGCATTGGCGACATGCACTTCAACTGAAGCATCCCTGAGAGGTTCAAACAGTGTTGGGAACATGGAAGCTTTCAATCAATTGAACTCACTACATATGACTTTTTCTGAAAGTGATCTGGAGTCAGTGGATTACGTTGCCATGCCTACAACTACACAGTTAGCTTCTTATATGTCTTCATATCACAGAAGACAAGCTTTTGGTATGAAATTTATCTTGTTTCCATTCCTATTCTGTTTCTCCATTCTTAATCTGAAGATTTGGGACCATGCTTAAAATGAAGCAACAATGTGCACCCCTACACAAGCACTATAAATAAATAAGAATAAGCACAAGTACACCTGCACTTCCTGGACTTTTTTACCAGAGTACGTTGTGAATAAGTGTATCCTACATAACACTGATGTGAAACTATAATATGATCTCCTGGACACCACCAAAAGTAATGTCTTTGGTCAAGCCTCCCTGCAATCACACAAAATTATGTAGGTATAAAAGAAGCTGCACATAAGCTCTCTCAGATATATTAAGTTTTGGCCCAGTACTCCATCCAATAGTAACCACTAGAAGATGGACAGTTGATTCCGACTTTATGAAGTTTTATTTTACTGATTGTCATTTAACAATAATGGATATTCTTACTTTATCTCTTTGACCCTAATTGGATTTATACTTGCTATGCGTCCATAGAACCATTATTTTGTCAATAGTTTCATATAGAGGGCAGGTGAGACTTAGTTTGCAAGCCATGAGTCGTAGTCTTGCAATTATTCTGATCACTTGTAGCTATATTGACAAGGATTACAACAGTTCAAGTATTCAGTATTCAGTAGGCATAGCTAGAAAGACTTATATTTCTACCATATAAGTCTGCCGTTTTTCCTTATCCTATTATGTTTTTCTTTTTTTATCTTTCTCATTAGAAGTTTCTAGATTTGAATTTGATTGAGGGAAATAAATGCTTGGACCAAGGGTCATGGTGTGTGAATTGATTATAGCAACATTGAGAATGAAAAATCATAAGACTGTTCTCTTCTCTGTATGCATCCGGAAGGTAGTATGGATTTGGCTTTGTTCATTAATTTAGAGCAAAAACAATCCTTACATCAGAACCGTGTGCCTGGTCCTGTGGTTCATGCTTCCGATATAGTAGGAATTTCCAAGGGGCATTACAGCAAAGAAGTAATGGTGGTTAATGTTTGGTTTTATTCATGCACATTGTACTTATTCCTTGTCATGTATTTTTTGGGCATGCAGTGATGTATCTGCAGGCCAATCCTGGAGGCATTACTATATTTGGATGGACAGTTGACCGGGGTCTTATCAACACAATCTTTTTCATTGAACTTACCCTGATCACGTTTGTGCTTGGAAAGACCATAGTCTTCAGTTCTACGTAAATGACTTCCATCAGAAACCAGTTTTTGACACACTTTCAGTATGAATTCCAAAGAATTATGAGACTGGACTTGGTTGCAGGTCACACAACTTGTCACTAGCGGGACTGCACACGGTTAATTTACATTTTAAGGCTATCCATCTCTTCACGTTTGGGACCGAGCAGCATGATAAATAGTTGCGGTCCGAATGGGGAATAACCAAGGTAGGCAGTCATTGTCCGACAAGGCTTTCGGAAATTATGACAAATACGGCGCCGCTCGCATGCAGGCACCTTAGTAGTCAATTTATATACTTGGTTGCATACCCAACACCACAATTTTGTGTTTGGTAAATACTTTGTTGTGTACCCAACAATACTGGTTTTTTGTGTTTCGGCGAAAAAAAATTTCTGCATTCACCCAGTTATGTATCCCTTGGTTCAAAACGTGAAGGAAGATTTTACAACCAATGTTACAAAACAAAATCCGCAGAATAAATTTATCATCTCATCCTTTTTGCATTCACGGTAAAAGCCTCAAGTCTCCAACATGGGAACCTTTTGACAAATTTTCAATCCATAAGCTGCTGGGATAGGTAGAATATAAAGTCTATTCTGTTAGCCTTTCCTTTGTGGTGATTTTGTCTCCCTCTTGCTGTTAATCATAGCTTAGAACCCAGGTATTTTTTGCTTGTTTTGGATGAATGATAATCAATGTGCACTCGGAAGTCTGAAGTTCTTGATAGAACTGTAGACAGAAATGCAACTAAGGAATACCACCATATACAAAAATATAAACAAACCCAAGTAACGTTCAATAACCCAGAAAACAGGATAGAACAACATCAGGCAGCAGCATTCTATTCTTGAGAGGGCAGCTCAATCTAGAAAACTGTATGTCAAGACATGCTTCCACGCAATGACACAGTAAAGCAACTACATGAGAAAGAAGTTGATAACATGAAACAATAGGGCCTAAATTACCTAGAAAGCAACATGGTTTTCTAACAAGCATAACTTGTCTTAAAGTTTAAGCGCACATGCTGTGAACTGATATCCAAAAATAAACTATAACGTAGTTAGCAAGAGACTCTGTAGAGGCATATTAATATAACATGTGTTTATTACACTATGCAGCCTCAGAAGCACAGGAACATCAACAACGTTTGAAAGAATTCCATAAACCCAAAAACTGCAATTATTTTCCTACAGGAAATTGAATTAAAAGCTTAACACCATAATTCCTGTGACCATTAATTTTATACGAAATTGGTATAGTACTCATTAAAGGATATTGTCTCTGATAAACATGATCCCAAAATATTATAGCCATTTAACACATTATATAAGAGGCAAGGCAAATGTTTGTTCTCAGGGCAGACTAATGAATAGCCAAGGTAATTAGAATTACTCTCTCGCTTCAGTCTGCATCCTCCTCACATTGTTTGATTAAACATTGTAATTTAGAACAATCACAATACCATTTGCCCCATCAATTCTTCTGCATCAATCACCCTCAGCATTATTAATCATTACTCATTCATAAATTACAAAATATTTTAATTCACTAAAGGATCTCCTTTTTATGCACTAATTTGGCATTCAACTTCCATACTAGAATCTACCATATAGACCAATTTAAACTTGAGGTATCCTTGCTTTCTTAGTACCCATGCATTAAAAAGAATACACTACGATTACAGCCAAGGTCTCCACAGCAGAGCATACCACTAAATGAATATCTAACAATCAATATCATCCATTACAACTATATATGAAGATAGAAAATGGAAGGTGAAAGAACATAAGACAGACATAACTTTACCCTGACTGTTCCATAAGGCTAGGACAAACTGTTCAGGAAAGATACAGAAAAGTTCATTCTTTCTTGATTCACTTGTATAATTCTTTCATTACAATTACTAAAATCAAACACATCTTGACGAAAGCATTACATAAAATAATGAAAAAAGCTAGTAAACCATCCCAACATACAGATCAGAAGAGAGAGAAAATATTAAAGTGAACAAGTTAATTGAAGATAGAAATATTAAAGTGACAAAAGGTAATCTAAGATATTGTAACAGACTAAAGTTTGTATGGTACCTCTACTGAGCCTGAAGGAACAAATAATTGGAAGTTAGATAAAATCCACAATATGCAGGTAACCTCCTCAACCTGCTTGCTTTGAGACTGCAGTGACATTCGCAGACATGTCATAAAAGATTCCAGAGCTAATTACAGCTTGAATCTTCTCAGACCATAATTGAAACATAATAAAAAGGAAATGCTAGCAAATTGCATGTTAACTTTAACATCTTTAGAAGATGGTTTCAATTGCTGACTAACCAAATTACACTCAACAGGTAAATTAAATCAATAAAGTACAAAAGAGGACTTGCTAGTAGACAAGAGCAAGGCAACAGCTAATCAATCGTTTTGAGTTAAAATTAGCAACTTTACGAAACTCACCATAAACTCATGGACCTAAACTAACTGCTTAATTGAATGAAATCATCATTCCAACCATAACTCATTTCCTTCTATAGTTTAAGCCCTCGTTTTTTCTGCAGGCTGTGGTTTAGAGGGAATAGGCATCAAAATCTTTTCTTTTTTTCCAGAAAAACCAAAGGCTAATTAAGCACCAAAACAAATCAAATCATCATCCGTGGAAAAGTACAGCTCTACTCTTTGGCACGATCAGATAAAAAGGGCATAAAATAAACTACAAGTTCTTTGACTTAATTAGCGATGACTACTTCCCCCTTTGATAAGTTGTCCACAGTTGCAGATTAACAGTCACTAAAGACAAATGAACTGTTAAAATGGGTAGTCAAAACAATAAACAAATAAAGAATTTATTAATAACAGTTCATAAGCCAATTCCTTTAATTGACAACAATAATTGAGTTTTTAATCCTTCTTCCCCGCAAATGCACACACAAATACCAAATAACAAATCTTGAACACATCACAATGGGGGAAGAGAGGAAATATTTGCAACATCTCAACTACTTAAAGTATTTCTTTTCAACTCAAGAAAAAACTGTCATACAAAACCATACACATAACTGTTGTCCTAGCAGCAATTCAGATTAAGGCAATTCTCCTCTACATCTCCAACAAAGTTACAAATATTTCTCACATAAGATTACATAATTAAAAAAAAGACAAAAGAAAAAAGAAAAAATAACACCATTATAGCTAAGTTGGCACTGCAATGTTCATACTGCAGAGGCAATCCCTCATTGATGGACACTATATACCTAACTCCATAAAGCATTCCACAGATATTGGATTAATAAGTTACCTTTGATGTATAATGGTTACTGTCAATTTCTTCTTCAATGAAAAGCAAAGAACGTCCCCTCCACTTCACACCAACCGTCTCTTGCAAACACAATGTCAATATTAAAAAAGATGGAACTGATGGTTGGAAGAAATCCATATTGTTTCAATATTCAAAACCAGCTATAAAGTGAATGTTTACATCATTGTTCCAATAAAAATATGTTACACAAGTTTCAGCTGAAACTGATTTCTAAAAGAAGAAAGGCTGATAAGCCACACCTTGCGATGTAAGCAGTGTCAGATGCATTTCTATATGATGACCAAAGCTGGAAAACAATTAACCTGCAAAACATCGGGTTCACAGGAAGAGGCAAACAATATCTCCAGCCAAATCATCATCAGTGCCTGCTAAAAAACAGCAAGAATGATCGTCTGACAAACAAAGTTTGCAACTTCCGTTGAATGCATGTCTCTCACCTCAATCATTGCCATCTTACAATAGTGTCAAAATCTAAAACCTGAAGATCAAATGGCACCGATGGTTGAACTTTTCTCAGCCAAACAAACCACCAGTCCCCAATTCCCCTTGCTGCAACTCCTTTCTGCGTTGCTCTTCCAAAGGATCTGGACTCTTCAACATTCTTCTCATACGCCTATGCATGATTTGGAGAATCTTACTTAAAAACCTTTAATAATAAAAAAACTAAAAATTTACTAAAATAAATAAGTACTTGTGATGTTTTTTGTTTGTGGCTCGATACCTGTCTTGAGCATGTTGGGCAGGGAAAGTGGGCATGAAAGCTTTGGTCTTGGGAAGAGGAACTTCACGAAACCATTCATGGTTTAGAGCAGCTTCGGCTGTTATACGCTGAAGGCGATGCCACAATCCTCAATAAATAATTCATTAAAAACAACAACGTAACCAAAATATTTGCGCAAGCCGAGTTGTTTACCTTCTCAGGATCATAAGTAAGAAGTTTATTCAACAAGTCAAATCCAGCGTCAGAGAGAACGGGTGTTCCAGTGAATGATGTTGCTGGAAATTTCTTCCGCAATAGATTATACCTGAAACGAAAATATCAGTAATTAATACAAACAAAAATAAATGCTGTGTTACTGAACTGTCACCAATGGAGGCCAGAAAGCCAGACCAGAATCACCCAAAGCTGGAAGCCTGGGAAAACAGTGGGAAATATAAGAAGACCTGAATAATACACTCAACTGAATCTAAATCAATTTATAAAAGATCTAATACTTACTGATGCTTGACAAAATTGACCTTGACTCCAGGCAACTTGGAAAAACCAGGCCATATTGTCTCATTTGGTGTTCCAAGGATTCTAAAAATCTGCAATCAGCAAACCCCACACAACAAATCCAAGATCATTAACCACCAATGGGCAGATCAAACCATTCCAGCAATAGTAGGAGAGTATGGTAATGATTAATGAAAGATGAGCCCAACCAAGTCAATTCACCTTGTCAAGTTGATCAAATTCGGTTTTCCCATTGAAAAGTGGTTCTTTCGATAGTAGTTCAGCCATGATACAACCCAGAGACCACATGTCAATTGCAGTGGAATATTGTCTTGCTCCCAAAAGAAGTTCAGGTGCCCTGCAAAGCCAACATGAAAAGTTGTCAACTGCTTGAATCCCAAAAAGATATACATGCCGGTTATTTATGAGGCAAACTTAAGACAAATAGACAATGCAAAAGCAAAAGCTTAAGCTTTAAGAGATTACAAATAATAAAGACAGGCTAGCACCCTACAGCAAATGGGGTTCATACATTTCATTAACCAAGGAAGAGAAGTACAGATCACAATTGATCCAGTCATGCTCATGTGTTGTCAAAGGCTTCCCCATGGAATTGTGAACTCAAGATTTTTTAGGTATTAATATTCAATATTGAATCAGATAATAATAACAAAATTTAATCAAAGAGGGATGTTTTTGCCAATAATCAACACTTGTCAAACCAAATACATAATTCAGAATACCAAACACCCACACACAAATAATAAATGAAAATAAAATTAATGAAGACAAAAATTCTCCCATATACTTTATTTCATTCAACAATTGAAAGGATTTAACTGTGATCAGGAAAGTATAGGATGGCATGCAAAACTCACCTGTACCAAAGAGTAACAACCAAATGAGTATATGGTTTTAGTGGGCTTCCATATTGACGAGCCAACCCAAAATCACAAATCTTAAGTTCACCCTGGTTATTTAAAAGCAGATTAGATGTCTTCAAATCTCGATGGAGAACCCAGTTATCATGAAGATACTTCACACCCTCCAGCAGCTGAAGCATCAGGCATTTAACCTCACTTTGGCTGAATGGTTGCTTCATTGTCTCCATCAGCCCTTTCAGATCATGTTCCATGTATTCCATGACCATAAAAATGCTATCAAGATTACTCCCTACAACTACTTCTTTAACATCTACAATTGATGGGTGATGGAAAGAAAGAAGAATATTTATTTCCCTCAGAGAGGTCAGAGGAAAACCTTCTCTTTCTTTCTCCATCTTGACCTTCTTCAACGCCACAATTTCCCCATTCTTCTTGTCCCTAGCTCTATATACAACACCATAAGTTCCTTCATCTATCTTATTTAGTCTCTCAAATTCGTCAACACTTCTACATCCCTGAAGCATGTTTACACTTCTTAGAAGAGGAGCTGGAGGTTCTGGTGTCCCATGTGAATCATTTTCATTCTCAGAATCTGTATCAGACTGGCTAACACTACTGTCATTTCTATCATGTTCATTGTCAATGTCCATGTAGTCATCCTTCTCTGAATCATTACCAGGGTAATCATCCCCACTTCCAGACTTGGAATGGGCAACTCGTTCATCAGATTCAGATGATCTCACTCTAATTCCCTCAGAGCTTTCCCTCTTAAGCTCCCCAAGCTCAGGAGTTGCCGACTTGTTGCGCACTCTGTTATGGGATGATTCTGAAAGAGGTAATTTTTTCCTCCTTTTAGGCATTTCCTCATCTTCTACAATTTCACCCTCATCACCCGGAGAACTATCACCAACCGCCCATCTTGAGGAAGATATATGTCGGGTAGGTACATAATCTTCATCTTCTAGTTGCTCGGTATCCTGATCATTACCCAGCTCTTTTGGTAGTGACAAATCCAAATCCACTGGAGATGGCTGTGCAGAGTATCTTCCAGTTTCAGAAGCTGCAACTGGTGAAGGAGACTGAGATTTCTCGCTTTTAATATCTCTAACAGGAGATATCTGTACAGGCCCACCGGGGATACTACTAGGTGACTTGCGGTAAACTTTTGGCAGTGGTGGTGGAGGAGGAAGGGCAATAAATGCTGGTGAATTCCTACTTTTGGACAAATTACTTAAGTCCTTGTCATCTCTATCCCACACTATAGGTGAAAACTTTCTTTTCCTTCCTGTAGGAGACGGAGCCCCATTCTCCATTACCTCTGCAACCTCACCACCTTTAACCACTGACTCAGACTCAATGGCATCCTCTGACCCACTCTCACTAGACAACTCACCAGGCTCCTTATCCACCACCCTACGAGAAAACTCACATCGCCTGGGCCCACGACTACCACCATCACCGCCACTACTGGCTCCTGAATCACTTCTACTCGAAGAGGAACGATACCCACCATTTATCACTTCCCTCTCCTTAATATCCTTTTGTCTAACCCTAGCTCTGTCTCTATCTCTAGCTTCCCGCACCCGACCCCTTTCATTATCACGGCTACCATTCCTAGATGGCTCGAACTCTTTAGAATTAGCAAATTCCCGCCTTGTCACCTCAAACTCTGAGTCTCTGTCCCTAATCTCATTATCACGATAACCCCCGTGTCTCCCAGCAGCCATATATGAATTTCAAAAATCCGAAAGCTTAATTCACCAACTCAAGAAGTCCCCGTTAAATTGTTTACTTATAACCCCTAAACCCTGGAAAAATACCAAATTCCCACCAATTTTTTTTCCAATTTTTGAGAAAAAAATAGAAGCCCAAATTGTAGGGTAATCAACACGATATTAACCAATAAAAGTAGTTAAAATAACCAAAGCAAGAAAAAATTCATATCAGATCCTCGATTTTCGGCCTATGTTGCTCGAAAATTCTAAGGGAAAATAATTGGATTATGGAAAGAGAAGAGCCTAGAAATTAGAGCAAAAGACGAAGAGGATAAACCCTAGATATGTTGAAGAGAAACAGAACGATGCATGGATTTTCTCGATCTCTCGATGAAATTAAGAGAGTAAAGAGAATTGAGAGTTGCTAGGGCTTACCGATTGAAACGGGGAAAAGACCACAAGAAAGATGAAAGTCGGCGATCGCTGGGGTGTGCGTGAGAGAGAGAAAGAGATAATAAAAAAAACAGCGAAAGGGAAAACAATAGAGAGCCTTCGAAATCGTGAGATAGCGAGAAGAGAAAGCGAAGGCCAGAAGCTTTGGGAAGCAAAAACGGTGTGTTTTATTCTTCGGCTTTGTAATCGCCCTTCTTAAAAAAAAAAAAAATCATTTTATTATTCGTCTCCGAGGGGGAAAATACTGTGACGTCCGTATTCAAGGCCCTCAGCCTTGAAATTACCTTTCTAGCCCCCTTTCACAAGGTGCACAACCTGCACAAACTATGTCAATTTTATTTATTTTTTGTCCTTTTTAGGGATGTACACAAAGCTAAGCATCCAAAGAAGCTCTTGAAATGATGAAACTGTAGGCTGTAAGGAGAGAAAAGCAAGAGAAGACGAAAGCCTTATTGCTTAATCTTATGTTTCTATCATAGGGTTCTCATGAGCATTCCTAAATTGTGCACAACTATACTTGAGTACACATTATAACATAGTTTTTATATAAATCAAATCTCAAAATAATTATTTTTGTCATAGCAATAGAAAATAAATGACACCACTTTAATGTTTTCTTTTTTTTTTTCTTCATGCAAGTTTATTTGCTTGGTAAGCTGATTGCTTGAATAATTAAGGAAATTGTACTATCTATGTATGTCACAAGTTTATAGTTTCAATCCATACATGTCTATTAGTAAAAGAAATTCCTTATAAATTTAAAATTATTTCATTTTTTACTGACATAAAATCCGTAATATTTTATCTCACTCGATTAAGCAATTCTCTTATTATACTAGCTCTTTCACTTATAGAGAAAAGGGACTCATCTTAATTCAAATCTATTTCAATTTTGATATTTTTCATGAAAGATCTCACATCAGTATAGAATTAAATAAACTTATATATACGTATTTTCAACTCAAAAGACATATCTATTAAATGAAAAAAAAAAATTATTTAAAAGTCCAAGACACATTCTATTGACATATGCATGTAACCATATATATATAAACATGCACACAAGTCTTTGTGTTGTTCATATTTATATTTAATACAAAAAGAAAAATATTATTTAAAATTTAAAAATTAAATCTTTTACCATAGTACTCATAGGCATTGGGTGAAGTTCAGCTTGCTATGATTATTATTACTAATAATCATAAGCTATAACAAATTGACAATACATAAATGTGGCCACTTTCTCTCGTCATATTTTTTCATTCTATAATACAAGCAAGTAGAAAACATATGTATCAGAGTCCCAAAACTAGTTCAGATCCAAGTGCTCTCGTTGGTAAAGCTAACAACTCAGTTTGATGCTTAAAAATCCGCAGGAGGAATGTGTTTTTTCCTCCACAAATTAGCAAGTTAGGAAGACCTGTTTGCCCATTTTGTTTGAGAATTTGCCCGCACCATGAGATCAAAAGGAAGGGTGAAGGAATATAAGCACAATCCTGATCTCTAAACTTTCAAATGATTTCATTTTGATATGTAATGGCACCTTAATAAATCCTAGCTGACATTTAATACCATGACCTGCAGGTTTTGTCTCAGGCTTTTTCCAGTGAAATTGCTTCATTGAGCAACCAAAACAGCAGCATGCCCATTAGTGTATCATCAGTACTTTTGAAGTAGTACTAACAGAAAAGATGTGACAGTCTTATGCTCTTCCAGTTGCATCATATAGGATTATTAACAGGACTAAGAATCTTGATCAACTGTTGCTAAAAAATTGGTTGGGGATTGTTTATTGAAGGAACTAACCACATTACTGCAATTTTTCAGCATCAATCACATCCCAGGAATAAAATAGTACATTATCTATGTATTTAAAAAAGTGGCAGAACAGGAATTGAAACTGGATCTGGCATTTAACTTTTGCAGCAGAGTTACTACCAACAAAGGGAAGGCAGCTTGAAAGAGAATGAAGAGGGCAGGTGACCAGTCCTTCTTATGTAATCTGCCCTTTCGGAAGTCCTCATAGCTTTCTCATTTAGTTTTGCTTCTGCATTTGCACGCTTCTCTTCAGCTATTCTCCTTGTAGCAGCAAGTTTGTTTGAACACCTTTCTTGTGCCCGAGCTTTCAATCTCTCAGCCTTCACCTAAAAACATAAGGACTGTTGGTAAGATAGGATGGACACCAAATCACCAATGTAAGCCTTTCACTGTGGAATGCTTTTAGTTTCAAATTCCTAAAGGCTTTAAGTAAACAAAACAGCAAGGCCTTTTGGGATTAGGAGACAGATGCAACAATCAATATTTTGGTAAACTGAGAAGTAAACGTTTCAAAGGATATGTTCACAGACTGACTCATGGAAATTCCTAAGAAAGTCATCATCACAATTACTTAAGAAGCACACAAAGGTCTTGTTTGGTACAAGCTTAATCACTTCAGTACAAACTTTTATCTGGAAACATGAACATTAAAGCATCAATATTTATCTTTCTCTGGTAATTGAAAACAGTTGATGTTGTTCATTCTGGCTCTGCATCATTACATTTTTCATGCTTGTTTAAAAAAGTTAAAGAGTTCTATAACTCGTTCAATGTTAATGGAAATGCCACAATAAGAGAACTTCAAAAGAAGCACCCACAAACAATATTAAAAAACGGAACATCTTCTGGCATTTTGGGAAGTTTAATCGCTGCTAACAATGCTTCTGCAGCAAGCATAACAGTGAAGTGTGCAACAAATATGTCTAAGTTCCTTTCGGTCAGAACAAACAAGGTAGGTATAATGGCTTTGGGATGAATTTCCAGGCCTTTACGTAATTTAGTCTATGCCATATATATAGATCTAGCTGATTAGTTACCTCCATTTTCTTCATTTCCATTTCTGCTTTCCTCTTCTCACGATTTTCCCAGGCTTGAATCTTCACTTCTTCGCGCTTGTACCTAGAATGCAAGAAATACGCTTATCACATCAGCTTGAGTAGAAAATAATCCACATTACATCATAATTAATTTCATCTAGTCCGGCAGAAATCTCTGCACCCATGCTAATTAGTTACAGCTAGTTATTAGCCAGAGAAAGGAGAATAAGTGCATCACCTTGCCATATATTTGGCACGTTCAGCCTCATCCCAAGCCATAGCTCGAGTTTCTAGAGTATTCTGCTTTCTAGCTTGATCTGAATTACAGTTCTCATGTATCCTGGATTCTTGCCCATACAGTCCATTTGGAGCATTTCCTCTGGCAGCCGCATTAGTCTCGCCTCTGCCCTCAGTTGACGTTAGACCTGCGTGATAGCCCTCAGCACCCGGTACTCCATGTTGGCACCTTACTGGGGTGGAAGATCCTGAAGAAATAGGACTCCTTGCAGCAGGAGTTGTGGCTCTGATAGGTGTTGCTGTTCTTGATGGCTCTTGGCTTGCAATAGGGGTCATCTCGGTCCCCATATCTCTCACACATATTGATCTAACAGCTGATGTCGAGTTCTCTGCAAGCTTGTTAACTCGCCAGATTGCCTCATCACAGTCCACCTTTTTTGTTTCCCCTTCGTAATTAGATGACAATGCAGCAGCAAATCCATTTGCTTGTGCTGCTCCTTCATCCTCACTGCTAGAATAATCTTGTTCCTTCTGTGGAACAGGTGCTATTAGTCTTCTGTCATCAGCATTGGAGTTCCGAGGTGTGGTTTTGGATTGGCTCTTGTCTCTACTTCTTGACAATCCGACAAGCCATTTCTGCGCGTCGTCCCATTTTGAAGGTGTTGGTTTGCCTAAGGCAGTTCGATGATGAGAAGCACGGTTAGTCCCATTCCCTATATGAAACTCAAAACTAATGGCACTGCTGCTTGATTTTTCCTGAGCAGGTCCTAGGTTATAGCATGCTTTATCTTCAATAGATCTCATTTTCTAAACCTTCTCTCCTGGTGCTTCACTTGGGCTAACAAGCAGAACAAATAACACTAGTCTGCAGATAGATCCTTAGCAGAGCAGTGATGTTCAGATCCTATCTTGAAATTTAAGCTGTTTGCCAACATAGGATACTCTCTCATTACAAAACAGATCCAGGATTTCAGATATTAGCCCCAGATTCATACTTCACAAGCACTTCCTTCTATATGAAACTTTGAGAATTTTGAGCCTACTAAAAACTAACTTCAAAATATTTTTAGCTTGCTAACATTAGCAAAGAAGTCTGTCAAAATTTTTCCCAGCCACTCCACTTCCAACTTGTACCCTACATAGAGAAAACTTGTAGCTCATTTTTACTAGCAATTACAACGCAAATAGCAGAGTAGTTATAACAAACAAGAATCAATAATGTTCAACAGGAACCACTGAAATATCTGAAACTTCCTTCACTGGAATCTATGCAGGAAAGGGTCCCATCACCCATGTGGGATTTATCCAGGAAGGTAACTAATCACCATATTTAAACACTGAACACCCATTAATCAAACGCAACTAGTAAAAGCTATCTGTTAAGCAGTGCTGCTGCCAACGAAAGCTTGATAGTTTTCCAGACTCACTAAACAGATTGGACAAGACTTTGATGTAACAAAAATATAAAAAGCAGAGAAAAGACAGATGGTTTTGCAGAAGAAAAATAATGTAAAAGATAATAATGTCCTAAAATCATAGATTTTCGAGACACATTATCTGAGCTAAAGATAAAAATTTCAGAATTCAGATCCATTGAACATTAAAATATTAAAAATAAAACATTTTTACATAGCTGAAAACTTGAATAACCAAAAACCAAACATAAAGTATTTTGGTACAGTAAATAGTATCTAACGGCAAAAAAATAATAGTGATAAACGGGAATTCACACTTCTTTAGCTTTACACTTCGCAATGAGAATCTCGAGAACTGTTTTGTGAGTAGACAAAAGATATTGTTTTCTATCGAATATCACTTACTTCCTGGAGAGAAAGTTGTTTTTCGAAATACGGTTAACCTGTTAACGGCTACTAAGCTAGTGGGAGCTGGGTGTTGGATGAGTGACAAGTGGGCGGTGGAAGATTGAAGAGGGATTGTCAGATGAAAGTCAGAGGCGGGGGTGTCGGTCCAGGATCGATAAAAGAGAGAGAGAGGGAGATTTTAATAATGGGGGAGCTCTGAACTCATTCACGTGGCTGTGATGGGCAGCATCTGAGAGTGTATTAAAGTATTAAAATGACTGTTGGTGTAGTTGTCAGTAAAGTTTTGACCTATCTTTGGGTACTCAAGTCGTCCTGGACAGTGAGAGCACGTTGCTGGTAGCTAGCTACATCATTTTTCTTTCAGAAATGTTGCATGCATGTGCTTATCAGCGAGGGATGAGACTGAGGTTGCTTTTGCCCAAACTCACACCCATCAAAATGTTTACTATGACAGCCCAATTCTGACTGCACTCAATGTTGGGTAATTTTCTTTAATACTCCCAATCCGAAGCATGATTAAAATTTCCATTTTTCTACTTTATGTGAAGAAGATTTGGTTGAATTGATGAGTTTGTTAGCTTTGCTAAGAAGTGATCTTGAATTCATGTGTTATTGATTAGGCTTATTGACGCTGATCCCAACTCCGCCATTGCATAAGATATATCTATCTCGTTTGTGGGCAATGGACTCGTAGTCTAAAACCTAGAACAGACAATGGGCTTGGGCTTCCCAAACACAACTTGCTCAAAACCACCAACCGAATTGCCCGTGGCATTTTTAATGAGTCCTACTCTCTTCCCCACTTTGCTTCAGCTGCTTCTTGATCATGGGGCTTCCAGGGTTTATCAGGGGTCTTAACTTCCTTCATAGAGCCAAACCCAGAATCAGAGTCTACCCTTCTGGCTACATTCAAAGGGGATTCTCAGACTCCAAATTTCTCAACAGCAATGACTCTGTTCTTCCTGTTTTGGTCGTTGGTGCAGGACCTGTTGGCCTCGTTCTCTCTATTCTTCTCACCAAATTTGGTAGGTTCGGTAACCCAAAGTTTCTTTTTTTCCCTTTTTCCCTATGAACCTTATGAAGGAAAAGTAAAGAGAGAAATTTTGAACTTTTACACGGAAGTGTCTAATTAGTTATTGTATTTTTATACGTCATTTCAATTTTCTATCTTTGTTTAAGCATTTTTTTTTTTTGGTTTGGAGTGAGCGGATCAATATAAAATTATGAGTTCATTTTTCTTTCTAAATCTTTTTTGAAAAATGTTCAAATATATGGTGAGTTAATAATGATATCCTATAGGGGTAAAATGCACGGTTTTGGAGAAAAACAAGCGGTTTTCCAAGCACCCACAAGCTCATTTTATCAATAACCGAACTATGGAGGTTGGTTTTCTTTCTTTATGGAAGATTGAGCGTAACTTGGTTACTGTAGGAAAAGGATTGAGCTTTATTCTAACTGTTGATTGTTAGGTGTTTCGGAAATTGGACGGATTAGCAGAGGAGATTCAAAGGTCACAACCACCTGTAGATTTTTGGAGAAAATTTATATACTGTACTTCCCTCACTGGTCCGATACTAGGTTCAGTGGACCATATGCATCCTCAAGGTTGGACTGATTCTGTAGTTTTTATTTGTTGCTGGCTTGCTAGTTGCTGTTTACAATTCAGCTCCTTTAGTTTAACACTCTAACTCAGACTGCAGGCTTATCTTTATCGTTATTTAGTGAAAATTTTATTTCCATTTTTGCAAATGATTCAGCAAAGTTAATGTTACATACTTGACTAAAGATTATTCCATCAATCCATTCTTTTGTTATCTATTGCCAGATTTTGAGAAAATTGTTAGTCCAATATCTGTTGCGCACTTCTCACAGTACAAGTTAACTAGGTTACTTGTTAAGCTGTTGGAGAACCTTGGTTTCCAAATTTGCACATCAGAAGGTCCAGAAGGCCTTGAGCATGAGCTACTCAGGGGAAGGGAAATCTTGATGGGGCATGAGTGTGTCTCCGTAGAAATGACTGGTCTATGTGTTACTGCAACTGTTTCTTTTTCCAAGGAAGGCAAGTTGATGACAAAAAAAATAAAGTCTAAAATTCTTGTTGGTGCTGATGGCGCTGGAAGTACTGTGAGAAAGCTCGTTGGAATAGATTTAAAAGGTGAAAAAGACTTGCAAAAACTTGTTAGTGTTCATTTTTTGAGCAATGACCTTGGGCAATACCTGCTTAATGAGAGACCCGGTATGCTATTTTTCATTTTCAACACTGAAGCTATTGGGGTTCTTGTTGCTCATGATCTTAAGCAAGGGGAATTTGTATTACAGGTATTGGAGGATTTAGGAAATATTTGGCATCTCCGTTGACTTAGAACTGCCCCTTTAACATGCACCATATATTGAAGATGATTTATTACTCATCATCTTTCAGGTCCCATTCTATCCTCCTCAACAAAACCTGGAAGATTTCAATCCTGAGGTATTTCTTTTCATTATAGATTTGGATGGTTAGGATGATCAACCCATGCCCCCTCCCCCTCCCCCTCCAGCCACCCCATCAAAAAAAAAAGTTCAGCTGGATGAAGGTGCACCATTTTCATCATTGATATTCTAGATGTAACAAGCCACAAAACTCAAATAATGTACATTATCTTCCGTAACATGATATTTCAGTAGTTATCAATTAATTTAGGGGATACTTTTACCTTAGCATCTTGATTGACAAGTCAATTAAGTACATGATATGACTTTACTTTTAATTATAAGACATAATATGTAAATAAGGATGCCTTGTCAATTTTTGGTAACAGTTTCGTTGAAGGATGCAACTTTTTGTAGATATGCAAGAAGTTAATATTCAAACTGGTCGGTCGAGAGCTTTCAGATATAGACGTGATTGATATTAAGCCATGGATGATGCATGCTGAAGTTGCTGAGAAGTTTGCATGTGGCAACAATCAAGTAATACTTGCTGGAGATGCTGCTCACCGTTTCCCTCCTGCTGGTGGTTTTGGTTAGTAGCACTCTTGTTTTGCTGACAGTAAAAACATGCCTATCAATCATTCAGAATTAACATTTTTTTCCCTCTGCTGCTGCTGGCAACTCTATAAAATTGATTATGCAATATTTTGCCCATTTCTTTTTCTTGGTTGAGTGGAGGGAGTAAAAGGAAAGAACGTGTTAAAAGGAGCGTATAGGTCTAACATGGACCAAAATGGGGGTCATGATGACAAGTTTAATTGCATGAAGACATACTAGTGTGACTTTTGTATATGCAACTCACGATGAACTAATTTTTATAATTAAGCAAAGATAGAGCTACTGAGTATTGAAGTGCAGCATAGTGGACTGTAATTGGTTGCATTCTAAAATCCTTTATTGTACAACATGTTATAATATAAAAATTACTGCATGTTGCATCATGAATAATGCTTATGAGTATTGTTAACTGATGTTCCTTTGTGAGCTAGTTATGATATGGAAAATAAACATTTATCGGATTTTAACATCGTTTATGCAGGGATGAATACTGGAATCCAGGATGCCCATAATCTGGCCTGGAAAATTGCTTCTCTACTAAAAGGTGTCGCATCATCTTCTTTGCTGGCCACATATGAAACAGAACGTAAGCCGGTATTGCTTCAGCCTTCTCAGCTTTTGTTCTCATTCTGTATCATTCGTAAGCAATTGATCCTTGATCTCCATGTTTTTTTGTTTGGCAGATTGCCATTTTCAATACAGCTCTTAGCATTCAGAACTTCAGAGCAGCGATGGCAGTTCCTGCAACTCTAGGTCTCGACCCAACTGTTGCAAATTCAGGTTAAGTAATGTAGCCATTGATGTGAAAATCCTACTGTTTCCCTGGCACCATTAATTCCAAACCCTATGAAGGTAGATATTTTGGTCTCAGCTCATCAGTGACATTTTATTCTTCCTTTTGCTTATTATGCAGTGCACCAAGTTATTACTAAGGGGGTTGGTTCCATTTTACCATCTGGCTTGCAGAAGGCTATTTTGGACGGAATTTTTTCAATAGGTCGTTCACAGCTTTCAGAATTCATTTTAAATGAAAATAACCCACTTGGATTGTCAAGGCTTGCAAAACTAAGGCATATATTTGAAGAAGGAAAGAGCCTTCAACTCCAGTTTCCTGCTGAGGATCTTGGCTTTAGGTATCAATATCATGTTGTAGAATTACTTTAAAACTTGCAACTATCGTAGCTGAAGGAATTAAACAATTTAAGAGCTTTGTGTTCTTGTGCTAACCATTTAAAGAAATACTCGAATATATGATTTCTATCTTAATCTGTGCATGGGCTCAAGGTACCTTGAAGGAGCACTTGTTGCAGACAGCAAGGATCCTGTGCGTGCTCCTGAAGTGCCTACTGGTCGTCGAAGGGATTATGTTCCCTGTGCAGATCCAGGGTCAAGGCTGCCTCATATGACTGTCAGGGTTTTGTCAAATCTTCCAAGTGAGGTGTATAAATCTGTTGTGCACCTTTCTTTTGGTTTTTACCTATTTGTGGTTTCTCTTGTAAAGCTTGTGAAGTTGGAGTTGCCCATTCTTGTCTTATCTCTGTGGCATGCTGGCCTTGTGCATGTTATGATCTAGGATTTCTCTCCAGAAATGAGGAGCCTTATTTCAATTGCTGACTTCATTAGTGACCTCAGATTTCTGGTTCTGATGTCGTCTTATCTCTGTGCATACTGGTCCTGTGCATGTTATGATCTATGATTTCTCTCCGGGAATGAGGAGCTTTGTTTCAATTTGCTTACTTCACTAGGGACATCAGATTTCTGGTTCTGATTCCAAGTTCAGCTACCATAACTGCCAGAGGATTTGGAAGTGTTTTGAACAGAAGCATCTTGCATTTTTGTTTTATCTAATTGTGTTAAAATTATTGCAGGAAACCATTTCTACACTTGATCTTGTGTCTGCAGACAGAGTTGAGTTCCTTCTCATGATAGCACCAGTGGATGAGTCTTATAATCTTGCTTGCGCTGCATTCAAGGTTGCTGAGGAATGTAAAATCTCTACCAAGTTGTGTGTAATATGGCCAGCAGGTACTGTTACTAGGGTTCAGCCGGGGAGCAAATTAACATTAGCACCTTGGAAGAACTACATAGACATTATTGAGGTTCAGAGGTCATCAGATTCATTGTCCTGGTGGAGAACTTGTCATATGACGGAGAAAGGATCTATTTTAGTCAGGCCAGATGAGCATATTGCATGGCGTTCAAAGTCAAGTATTGTAGGGGATCCTTATTCAGAGATGAAAATGGTTTTTTCTACCATTTTAGGAATTGAGTCAACCAATACAAGAAACCATGCCTTGAATATTTGAAGACTTCTATCAGAATTGATTGGAAATGCTGTTCACTATTGATTCATATAAAATAAAATACCTCAGCAAGAAAATTCTTTATTATTTGCCGAGTCTTTGGAATGGCGCAACAAAGAGGGTCGAAGACGGCTGCAGTGCACGAGTTATATTTTTATTTTTATTTTTTTGCTTCATAAATAACTACTGGCAGCTCAAATGTAGCAGCTGCAGTGGGATGGCTTTTGTGATTAATGTATTTCAAATTTAGTAGTGTACTATTTTCACCAATCTCAATAGAGAGTGGAAATAATGTATCCTCATTAGAATTATTGCATGTTTGGCAAGTTCAACATTTTGTAGAACTATGAAGCTAGTTATCTTGTCTGCTCTCTTTTGATCCACTTGTTGGACAAAATCACTATCCATCAGATGTTATGTTGTATAATTCAACAAATAAATTGATCCGAGAATGGAATGCAAAAGCCAGTAGTAGAAGCCCATAACTGATATAAGTATCATGGAAGCCATTTCACATTTGATCAGACTGAGCATGTGTACCAGGTTCCATTTACACGAATCATACTATCACACCAGACATACAGGCAACTAAAGATTGAGATGCTACTGGTTAAAATGAATGGAAGGCAGTCCAATGTAACATGATATTGTAGACATTGGAAACTTAGCATTCAAATCTGAGAAATCTCCCTTGACAGGCAACGATCTGCAAGCCACAATTCTTTTGCAAGGCAGTAGGAAGTTCAACAATCAATGCTATTGTCAAATGATATCTATGATCTACATGTGCATCAACTTTAACTAGTAGCCAGGGTAATCAGTTTTCCAGAAGCTGCTGTAACAATGCCAAGAAAACCGCCAGCAATAACCTGTAATTGAAATGGAATGTTAACATTATAAATAATTATTCTTGTACTTAACTCTTCTATATAAGCAAGTATGTCTGATGACCTTGCAGTGCCTGATGTTGTCAGAAACCAGACCAAAGGTTATTGCTCTCTACAATCTCGGCTTTTAACCAGACCAGAGATTATGTTAAAATATAACTCAGATTACTATAGCCATTAGTTGCAATATGTGTAGCATTTAACTTAATAATGGTTTTCACTTTTCATTCAAATATATGGATGTTAACTATAGTATTGTTCTAAAGAAGACATCAGAGATTACGACATCATCTCAATTTATTGTTATTTAAAAGAAAAAGAAGCTTAACTAAAGGATGTTCAAGAGCAACAAATTATAATGTTGGATCAAGTAATTATTGCCAATAATCTGCTAAAAAAATACCTGTGGAGGGGTGTGACCAAGAAGTTCCCTTAAGGGTCTGCTCTCAGCCAGAGGATGTTCAGCAGGCAATTCATAAACAATTTGATTCAGGACCTGAACAACATAAGGTTCGCAAATGAATACATGAAAGAATCAAGTTTAAACCATGTAAATTATGCATCTCATTTCATAAAGAAAGCATGCAGTCATATAACTAAAGCTTCTGTAACATCCCAATTACTAAGAAAGGCTAGCGAGAGGCATGGGGGGGGAATGCATTTAGGGGAAGACAGGGGATGAGAATAAATTAGAAAACACCAGCAAAAGAATCAAACCTCTGCCTGCCGTCCAGCCTGCAATCTCACACCAGTTGCATCATACATTACCTGCAAATCAAAGAAAACCTGGATTAGCACTAGCAGAGACAAAGAAAGCGATATCCAAAATCATGTTCTCAGAGTCTAGTTCAACGTTATCTACATAGTTTACATGCCAACCATAAAATGAAGAAACAAGGGATCATACAATGCATGCTAAGGTCAATGCAATTGCAAATAGTGCTCCTCCAAAGCCTTCTTGGAATCCGACAGCTGTAGCAAGAGCAGCGACCGTTGCAGAATGGGATGAAGGCATCCCACCAGAGCCCACAAGTTGCTTGATATCCCATCTTCTTTCCTTATACCTGCAAGTCTAAGAAACCTTAAGACTCTTAGGAGAAAACTAAATTAAAAAGTTTAGAACTTGTGCAAATAGCAGAACAGCTACTCCTATATCATAAATAAAGATGTACAAGCTTGCCACACAAATTCTACATTCTATCAATTACCTGCATGAGGACTCAATAGGTTTTCTTGCACTAAGATTCTGTTCCCCATACCATAAACAAACAGCCAGCAATTGGGTTTTGAAAATAACAAAAGAAAAGGCAATCATACTCAGAATGCTATCTTACAAACTAGAAATTGCAGTTTCAATTATCAAGAAGCAGGTCAAAAGGCTATGAAGATCCACAAAGTAACCCCGGGTTCAAAAAAACATAAATATCTAGACTCTAAAATTATAGGTGAAGATAGTGTAGTTATGAACTCGGATATAATTAAACTTAATTAAGTTAATTTAAAATTGATTCTTAAACCAGGTCGTGTGAACTAATCATTCCAAGATCTGTAAAAAGAATGTCGACATATTTGGCAGTTGTCATTAATCACTTGTTATATATCTTTATTATAAACATTCAGCTCTAAGAATCAGATCAGATTAAGACCAAAACAAATATGAAAGGCCACTGTATTCCGCCATTAATGACCACAACCGTGATTACCCAGTTTAAACTCTTGGCAACAAGTCCATAGAAAGACAATCAACAAGAACATTCTCGAGACCAGATACGAAGTCAACAATTCTATAATCTTGCAGCAGAAAATAAAAAGAAGAATAGCTAGAACAAACAAAAGGTTTAAGAGTCAATGCAGCCAAAACAATTGAAGAGAGAGAGAGAGAGAGAGATACCAGGAGGTGAAGAACTTGATAGATTGGGCAATAGCGAAGGCAAAAACAGCACAAATGAGAGGGTAGTTTGTAAAAATGGAGGAAGAAGACATAGATGAAGATAATGATGTTGAAGTATTCTGAATCAAAGTCCCTGATGTGGCTGTCATTTCATCCATCTTTAATCTCTTTTTTGGATATTCTTTCCTTCTTTTGAACGTGTAATGTAAAATCTTCTCGAACAAAAAAAGAGAAAAGAAACAAATGAAGAAAGATTGATGTATTGAGAACAAGAAAAAGTAAACAAAGACTGGTTCTTGGAAGGGTATATTAATGAAGAAGAGCGGATTAGGTGGCGAGTTTGATGAATCCTTCAGAAGCTGAAAGAGAGAGAGAGAGAAGGGATTGCTTGATTGTAACTACTGTTTTCAAGTTTCAAGGGTAGGGTAGCAATGGCATGTTTGCCTGTTCGGTACTTGGTTTTTTCTTCTCATTTGTTTCCCAATTTTAACAACTAACGGTCTTCGCCTTCGCTTAAGGCTCCAAAACTACCAACTGAATATGCCAATCTTTGTTCCAATTCTTGTCTCGAATATACCCTCCCTACAACTTGCTCTCTCTTTTCTTTTTCTTTTTTTTTATTGGTTGCTATTAAGCTAGTCTCACATCTTCCTTCTCACTTTTCTTCTCCCATGTATCTGATGTCATATGGTTTATAGAGTAATTACACTTATAATTATGGTAAACCTTCAATTGAACTTTTTTAGACTTTAGATAGGTAATTAAAAATGATTAATTAATTCAAAATGAATAATGGGTGTATTTAAATTAATTTAACTATTAAAATTATGGGGTTTTTTTTTTCTTAGAAATGTTATATGTACAAGTAAAGATTATAACTAAAATATACATTCAAAATTCTGATATAAGACGTCAAGAATACTTAGATTTTAATTGTGATTTGATGATGATTTAATTGAAGTTTCTTTAATTAAGTAGTAATAATAGCTTGATATCAACTTAAATCAAACTTGATGCCTTCTGCAAAATTAGTTTCTTTTTAAGTGGAAAAACTGATCGTGCTCACTCCCCTTTTGAAGTAATATAAACAGTGTCATCAACAACAGAAAGTAGCGGCAATTAGTGAAGAATATGGTCGAAGTTCACATCTCACCAAGTAGAAAGGGCATTTCCCTAAATCAAATAATAGAGTGGGCCAACAGATATTCTTGGTTGGAGAAACCTGATTGGAATTTTTTGCAAATTCTTTGAACTCAAATTCAATTGCAGAAAAATAAAAATTGATTGAATGAAGGATATCAAAGGCCCAAACAAGAGGCGACAAGTCATTTCAACGAAACCAAAGATTACACTTAGGT